AAACTAGCTTAAACAATTTTAAAAAGACAAATAATGTATTTTATAGAGGTCCAGCATATTGTCATCCCATAAAATTTTTGAAGATTCTTCTTTAATACACATTTCTCAAACAGCAGAAAGTAAAGAAAATTACATTAGCGGCATGTATTTCTGGCAACGTATATTACCGAGTTTAAAAATGACAAGTATATATTTTCAATATTTGTACTATAACACACAAGTAACTGACACTGTATATAACTGAAGTATGGCATTTATTGTATATGACCATACACTATCATGATACAGTTTACATGGTGCTATTCATTTGCAACAGGAATTATTTTCCATTCACTTTATAGCCATAAAAGAGATAATGTAACTTTATAATGTAATTTATGAACATCATGCTGGAGAGAAACATCTCTACTAAAATTCTGATGAATATCAGAAAAGGTAATTAAATCAAAGGAAAAGTCATCTCACCTTAATTCTCCTCTCATTATCTTCCAGTTTGTTCTCTGCCAAGGCTAATTTCTTTGCCAATTCATCTCTTTCAACAAGGTGCTTATCTTCAGAAAGCTTTTTGAGTTTTTGCAGAGAATTTTTTGTCCTGTACAATTCATCCTCTGAATCTTTCAATCTCCTTTCAGTGGTGCGCTCTCTCTCTTGAGATTTTCTTAAACGCTCCCTTAATATTCTAACCTCATTGTTATGTCGAGCAAGGAGTTGAGAGATTTCATTTTCTGTATCTTCAAACTTATTCAAGGCTTTTTCTTGCCGATACTGAAGCCTCTTCAGTGCCCTGTTTTCTTTCTGCAGCTCATCTAGTTTGATGTGGAGTTCAGTGAGTTCATTTCGAAGCTCATTGATTTTCAGCAGCCTGGCAGAGAGAACCCTTTTGGTAACAAGATCTACATCTTTTGCAGGAGAATCCCTATTGAGACTCTGGGACCGAAAGCCCCACCGTGTCCCTCTTTTGCTTGGTGCATATTTGGGGCCCAATTTCTTAGAGGCTAAGAAATAAAAACAAGAAAGCATTTTACTGCAAGAAACTCAGAAAAGCCTGCTGCTATTTTACTTAAGAAGAACCATCTTTGAAAGAAAGCCCTTTTCTCCTGATAGAATTATTACAACTGCATTATGAAATTCTTTAGGAAAAAAGAAACAAACAAAAAACCCAAACAACCACACAAAAAGGTTTTTCATTTTTATAGCTACAATATTTGTGTTTATGATATACTGCAAATTATGCTGTGTGCAGCCTCAAAATGAAATCATTATAAAGTAATCAGCTGTAATAATAAAACCAGAAATAATGCAGGTACAATAATCAACACTAAGTCTTTCTGATTTTATAAACAGAATATTTTTGTAATAGAAAAACTGTGTTATGATGTTCTCAGCAATTTCCAGGTGCCCTTAAAATGGAAACAATCACCAGAACTTGGGCTAGATTTATATTAGGCCTGCTGCAATTCTATGAGACAAATTCAATAGACCTTATGTAGTAATGTTAGATGCTAATTGTTGTACTTGATTGCAAGACAAGAAAGTGATACTGATATAGTTAGGAACAAAACTGAACGAGTTAATAGGCACGTCACAAATTATTTCCCACACAATGTCATAACTTGAGTGCCAACAGACATAGATCTCAAAACATTTTGAATATAATCTCACTCAAGATGGACACAAAGGCCCAAATTCTATTTCATTTTGAACACATCCAAGTGATCCACTTTCACCTTGCTAGAATTAAACAGAGTCCGCCTCCTCAATATTTTTTGTCCAAAAGTGAAGATGAAGATATGTTACACAAGTTGACAAAACAGTTGTTTTCTGAGGATCTGAACGAGGTGGAATTGGCATGCACTAGGGGGCTTAAGTACTTCCTATGTATTACAGGCAAAACAGGACTTGGACAAACTTTTAATGCAGAGACAAACCTCTATTCCTCACTGACACTTAGTATATCTGCCTGCAGAGTGCCATGGCAGAACAACTACACTGAGATTTTTTACTTACATCTTCCCTTAAGGATTTTGCACTTATGGTCATCCAATATTATTTCTGTCTGAGGCTCAATTTTTTTCTAGCTTGGGTCATATACAATACTCTGTTCTTTTTCATACAAGGATCATTTGGAATGTTAAATTCAGGTATGAAAGAGTGAAGAACCAGCTATCCTACAAGATTCAATGCCCATGTTTCTATGGATTAGGATGAAAGTATAAACCCAGATTTTGTTTTTCAATCCTTTTTAAGTAATCCCTATCAGGGAGAAGATTGAGAATTCTCATGTGTTTTGTACTTCGGACCATCCATATAAATCTGGCAATGGAACATAATTACTGCCATAAGTTCTAAAAAACACTAGACATGATGATATGCCATCATGTAAACAGCTTCATTTGGGATGACATGACCAAAACTAAGAACTACTCTCTTTCTTCCATAACTTATTGCAATGGAACCATGGCAAGTTTGTTTCCTGGAGGTCTAGTTGTGTTTAGGGATGTCAGCCGCACACATGCTGAGCACTATGCCAACTCTACAAAGGCCAACAGAGAAAAGAGCCTGAAGACATAAGCCACTGGCATTCCACAGACTTTAAGGCTAGAGCTGTTAGTCATACCTTCTGTGCAACATAAGATACAGAATTTCATTGAGTGATTCTTCCCAAATCATTCCCTAACTTCTGATGGTCTAAAATAGGACTAGGCAAAATACAGCCTGCGGGCTGCATCTGTCTCCATGCAGACTGGACCTGGACCCCTGTGGGCAGGGCATGCTCAGCTGGGTGGATGGGATGGGGCCACGGGCAGGGAGTGGTAGCTGGGAGCAGGACAAGCAGGTAGTGTGGGATTGTGGGGCAGTGACAGCAGCACAGGGCCAGGGCCCAGGGCAGAGCCATAATCTGCTTCCTGAACATCCCTGCCTGTGAAACTGGCTCCTGTAGCAAGGAGGTGTGGAGATTGGATTGCAGCTCTGCTCTGGGCCATGACTCTGCGCTGTCACCACCCTGTGATCTTGGGCCTTCCCGCAGTTCTCATCCATCCAGCCAAGTATGCACTGCTCATGGGGGTCCCACCCCGTCTCCATTGAGACCCCACCTACCCGCTTTGTCCGGTGGCCCCAGCAGTGCTGGGCAAATGGGCCTGGATAGGTTGCCTCCCCTCCCCGCTGCTCCAAGTCAGAACCCCACTGGGCCAGGTCAGCTCCTCCCACCAAGCTGGGTCAGTACCACCCGTCACCAGCCTGCAACAGCTCACCAAAACTTGATAAGTGGCTCTCTAGTCCAAATAATTACTCACCCCTGGTCTAAAAGATATCTTTTACCTTTACCAGAAAGTATGTACAATGGCTCAGTCCAAGGGAACAAATCCCAGTTAGAGGATACACAGCCCCTCCTCAAGTCAAACTGCACACCCACTCTCTTGTTTCTTCCTTGATGGGGAACATGTTCTATTTCCTCTCTCAGTCCAATCGGCAAAGCAGTTTACCAATGTTGTGTGTGTGAAAGAAGAAGATAAATATAGAGTACATTTACCTTCCCATTATCATCAAAGAATGCTACTATTTTAAAAAGCTTTGTGCATTCTACATTATCACTCTAGACAAATATTTACAATTCTATTGAAAAAAAAATCTAATTTGCAGATAACTATACTGGAAAGTCTTGCAATACAGATATTCATAGCAGAGATCTTTGGGATGTTGTGTGTCAGAGAAGTTATAAATAGTCACTTCTGGATTTAAGATCTAAGAAAGTGAATGACAAAATGGGAGCATAAGCAGACCTAAAGACTTGATATAATTAAAGCATAGGACTTGTTTTTCTATTTCTTGTCAGAAAAAAACCCAATAGGCTTGCCAATACTTAACAGAAACCAGGTTAATTTCAGTTCTCAAAGTAAAATTATGAACCATTTAACAGACGTAAAATAATTTATAAGAACCTTATTTATAGTTTCTTCTAGCGGAAGGCTTTCTACTTTGTCTAAAAATTTAAATTACTGTTGATGTTAGCAACACTGTTTCAAAGCCCTATGTTATGTAATCTACCTACCTTGGTAAGGCAAGTTTGAAGTGTGTATTTTGTTATTTTTTTTCCCATGGCTCATAGACGAACAGCTTAACATTGGTGACCGATCAGATGAATGAGATGCATTATCCTCATCCGAATAATAGGAGTCACTATTTTTGTCAGCATCTGATTTTCTTTCATGTTCAGAATCTAGACTTTGTGGTCTTTCTCCCATTTTTAAAATCACAGTTAATTTTCTCTCAAAAACTGTTCATTTTGATGCATAATTTATTCATCGTTATAAGTAGAACTGTTGGCTTCTTTCCCAGTCATTATTATCCTCATCTTCAAAACATGAGCTGTTGGGTCTTCATTTTATCAATCAGTGGTCTTCATTCAGAATGCATTTTTCTAAAATATGAATATAAAAAACAAAAGAGTGAGAATGTGTTAGTGATTCATTTTCTAGATTTCCTACAGGAAGCACAAAAGAAGAGAGTACTGTAAGATAATTTCAGGACTGCTATATGGTTTTATGTCAAGCAGTTCTGTATATCAGCCCTATCAATTAGAAGTAGATACCGCTCTGCTCATGCTACCTTTTGAATATATCTTTTAGCCTCACTGATCAATGTTTTGAGACACTGCATATCAAAACAGCATTTCCCCGAAAACAATGAATTTACACTACTATATGTTTTAGAATGAAAGAAAATAGGGGTTGGACTAGATGACCTCCTGAGGCCCCTTCCAACCCTAATTTTCCATGATTCTATGAAAATACGCCTAGGGTATAAGATTCAAAGAGGTATTAAACTTAAAATCTGAAATGACTCAGAAAACCTAATAAAGATATGTTTAAATGAAACCATTAGTCGTCAGCTAAATGTGACTAAAATAAAAGTTGTATTTGTTTGTATAATTAACCACAAAAACTTTTTAAATCTCAGTTTAATATTTTGTTATGTTATAAGATGCATTTTAAATTAATCTGTCTCACTGGTATAAAGGTTAATTTATTTTAAAAAAACCAGTTAACACCAGTGGGGAAGTACACATTTAGAGACCCAAGGTTGGGAGGGAACATCTCCCCTCTATGTGACACTGGTCAGGCCGCAGTTGGAGTACTGCATCCAGTTCTGGGCGCCGCACTTCAGGAGGGATGTGGACAACATGGAGAGGGTCCAGAGGAGGGCCACTCGCATGATCAGGGGTCAGCAGGGCAGGCCCTATGAGGAGAGGCTACGGGACCTAAACCTGTTCAGCCTCCACAAGAGAAGGCTGAGGGGGGATCTAGTGGCCATTTACAAACTGGTCAGGGGGGACCAGCAGGCATTGGGGAAGTCCCTGTTCCCCCCAGCACTACCAGGAGTGACAAGAAATAATGGTCACAAGCTGGCAGAGGGTAGAGTCAGGCTAAATATCAGGAGGTGCTACTTCACTATCAGGGCGGCTAGGATCTGGAACCAACTTCCAAGAGAAGTGGTGCTGGCTCCTACCCTGGGAGTCTTTAAAAGGAGGCTGGATGAACACCTTGCTGGGGTCGTTTGACCCCAGTACTCTTTGCTGCCATGGCAGGGGGTCGGACTTGATGATCTGCTCAGGTCCCTTCTGACCCTACCAACTATAAAACTATCTCCCCCGCTGGCCTGCAGAAGAGGTTTTATCTGCATGCAGCAAGAGAAAACTGAGGAAGACTTTGAAACATTAGCAGATTACCACTGTCTCTACACCAGTGGAAGCTAAGAAAGCCTAAAATGCCAAAATCTTAATGGACCATGTGGCTGCTCAGCTTTATTCTACCTTCCCTGTCAATTGATTTATGAAACATTTCTCTGACTAGAACTTCTGGGGCCAAATAAAAAGATAGGATTTCCTCCTTGTGCCTTTGTCTTCCTCAAAAACCTCTAGAATTTACACCTGATGGCACCATCTCCTCTTCTCCAAGTCAAAGCTTGTAGCAGAGGAACAAAAGCTGGCACTGTTTGGATCCCATCTCTTAATTCATTCTAAGTGGTTTCTGTTGAATGGCATAATATATTCCTGAGCAGCTAAGCAGAAGAGAAAAGCTGAACTTTCTTTAAAATGATAACTGTTCTACAGTGTGGAGTCCACACAAGTACTAGACCTCCGTATAGAGTTGTTTATATTTTAGATAAACACTTTTCTAGAGTAACTTACTAAAAATATGCATTCCCAATTACATGTATATTATTCTTTATATTTTATTATCTTAGTCTTCAACAATACTGCCTATAAACCCACAGTTCCATAGCTGAACAGAGTGGGTATCTCAACGGCTAGAGCAGTTTTGATTTATGAATTCCTGCTCTCAGCACTAGTTTACTATTAGCACAATGGGTGTGCATGGTTGGGCCTTTCTATTATAAAGAATTCAGCCTTGCAGCCTAAATGTAGAGCAGGAGTCACTAGAACAGGACTCGGCAATGTTTTTGGGCAGAGTGCCAAAAACACCCACAACCTCAACCTGTAAGATGCTGGTGTATCAGGACAGATGGCAGGGGAGCCACAAGGGGCTCGATCCTTGCTGTAGCAGTGCAGCCCCAGCCCCTTCCCTGATGTCTGCCCAGAGGCATGTGCGCCAAGCAAAATGCCTTTGCATGCCACACTTTGGCATCTGTGCCAGGGATTACCTATCCCTGCACTAGAACAAACCCCGTATACCTTGTACGATTTTAGGAAGAGTTTTCAAATAAGTTGTTAGTGGAAAATTATTATTCTGTAACTTGAAGGAGACTGGATTTTCCATTTTGTAAGTGCGGCTCTTCATTAGACAGACACTTAGTTGTGATGGTTTAGTTAGGAAGCTAGATTGGATGACCTCCTGAGGTCCCTTCCATCCCTACTTCCCTATGAGTAGAAAGACAAGTCTCAGAAGTGCCTAAGTTAGTTAGATGCCTAACTTGATCTTAGCGGAGTAGCTAAGAGGTGGCACCCAGAGCAGCCCACTTGTGGGGGTGGCCACAAAGCCAGAAGCTGCCAACTGGCACACTGCTGGCAGCAACCCCTAAGTTATACGCTGCTGGTTCCTCTGGTGCAGGGCTGTCCTGTTACACCTCTGCTTGATCTGGCCTGGGAAAACAAAATATCTTTAAAAAGCTTATGTTGAGAAGAATATCCTACAAAAAACCTTGTTTCAACTTTGCCAACTGTTTTGTATTTGCACATAGGGAATTCAGAACTTATTGCTAAGCTAATAGTTACTAGAAGGTCCAGTTATTGAAAATGCAAGCATCCTGGATCATGAAGAACATTTTTCTGAAATGATAGTTATTATTATTGGCAAGTTTGTATTATTTATTCTTTTAATGTCACCATCTTATTTAACAGCTATCTGTAAAAGATATCATCGTCTTTGAAAGTAAAAAGAACGCGAATAGTAAGTAAAGATATAAGAAAGAAAGAACATGTGCCCTAATTTTAGGATGTAAAAAAAAACATGAAATGAAGCCATCAAACAATTTACTCTGAAGAGAATACATCAGTGGATGTACTCATATACACAGTAGATTTGACTGTGCATGAAGTCTCTTTTGAAAGAATTGTAAATGCCTCAATTTAAATGATACAGTTATCACCATTTCTAAAAATCACATATTTCCAAGCACAGGGTATGGACATACGATATTAACTTGCACACAAATCTAAATCACCCTGGTGTCCAGAGCAGATAGATGACTACTTCTTAGAAATAGTTGTTTGTAGTGGATGCTACTGCAACACCTTAGCCACTGGTGATAGAGGAGCCAGGAACAGCCTGCTGCATTGAGAAAATAGCTAGTTCTACAGACAAACAATCAATACACAGAGATGTGGGGTGGAAAATTTTCCGGCACTTAATTTTTTCGTGGGAAATTTTCTATTTCTAAAAATTAATTATTAACAATGTTAATTAACAAAGAATGAATTAATGAATGAATGCCAATATTAGGCAAGCTTGGCAGTTTCAAAGTTGTAATTAATGTTTTTCAGGTGATTATCCTTACAAAACGTGCAAGAAAGTACATATATGTTTTACTGATTCGTAAACAGGAGGGTAAATACACACTCGCATAATAATTCAAACCAAAAATCAAGTTATGAATTCACCTAATTGGCTGTGCAGGTCAAATCAAAACCAAAGCTAAAATTCTTATTTCATCTGCAAATGAAAGCAAAACCAGAACTAAAACTGATTAATATTTGTTTCACTTTCATTTCAGCAAACACACAGAATAGTGTCTCATTTCTCTTCTTGAGTTGGGGAAGTTGGAAGTGTTTGCATAAGACCTGTTAGTTTTTTATTGCTTTTGGTTTGAAGTAGTTATAATAATGCCTAATCAGAAAAAAGAAACTAGTGTGTGGCATCATTATAATGAAATTCAAGCCACTGAAGGAAGGGAGAAAGTTGGTACTTTTAAGTATTGTGGGCAGGAGTATGCTAACAATGCAACAATAATGAAGAAACATTTAATAACATGTAGAAACTTTCCTGAAAGAGTACAAGCCATATACAGAAAGCTAATACAACAAAATGGTGGAACAACATCATCAGAGAAAAGTCTACTTCTTTCCACATAAAGCTTTGAATATAACATTTAAACCACATTTTTAATGTTTTTCCTAATCAAATATTTCAGTTCAAATACTTGACTATTGGGGCATAAAACTTTACTTTTAAAGTTTTTTAAAACTAAATATAAGTCAAATAAACATGTCAAATCAGATCATGCTCTATTTAGGGCATTAGAAAATTTTCCAGAAAATCTTCCAATCCAAAGTTTTCCAGAAAATCCACATCTCTGTCAATATGCCAGTATAACTCACAATGGTGTATAGTTACTCCTGTTTTTCCAAGGTGCAACTTCACAAATCAAGAGTGTAGCGACTTACACTGGTAGAGGGTTGTTTACCATGTGCTGATGCCACATTTACACCAGGGTAAAGACAGACTTCACCAGTGTTGTATATATGCACCAATAGCCATTTTCATTTTACCAAATTAAAAGTGACAAGCAAATCTACTATCCCAGAAACATTCCTGTGAAAGGGGTCCTTCCTAGGACCTGATATCAAATTGGCCCACCCAGCTGCCTAGGGCAGTCTACCCTAACTTGCCTGCCATCACTTGAATGTTACCTGTATGTTAAGTGGGAGGCTGCCCATTCCTTGTCCCGATGCCAGGGGGCACTATCCGCAGCTCTGAACCTCCCCTACATCACAGCCCATGCCTCGCAGATAGCATCCAGATTATGATAGCTCCCTCGCCTGAGGCCAGGGCAAACTCAGTCCATAGTTGAACTCCATTCATTCTGCCCCGCACCAACAGGGGGCCTCTTGCACTCCACCTATTACTAGGACACACTCTACTGCCCTATCTCCTCTTGAGCGGCCCCTCTTGGGCTTTCCGG